GTAATGATTAAAATGATTCAGGAGGGAGCCTCATTCGACGAGTGGAACCCGGTTCATTTAACAAAAGCTATAAACAAGTTGGTTGGCAATGTGAAAAGTGCACGAGTAATGAGAAATGGAGCACTGATGGTTTTTTGCAGGGACACTGATCAGCAAAGGAAGGCTGTTCTGCTTAACAAAATTGAAGATAGTGCGATATGTTATGGAATGAAGGGTTACTTGTCAGTAGAACAAGTGAAGGAAAATGTGGAAGGAGCACGGGTAGCCGAGGCAAAACGCTTGAAAACAACACGTAATGGTGAAAGATGTGACAGCTTGTCTGTTATGATTGTTTTTGATGAGGAAAGTCTACCATCTAAAGTATATATAGGTTATATGTGCTACGATGTCAAACATTATGTTCCCCCACCTCTGAGGTGCTTTAAGTGTCAAAAATATGGACATGTAGCAGCTGTATGTAAGGGCAAACAAGGTGTGGAAGATGCGGTGGTGAACATGAGTACGGGAAATGCGTAAATGGAGCTAAGCTAAAATGCTGTAACTGTGGAGGAGAACACAGCTCGGCCTACAGGGGATGCGAGTCTAGTAAGAGAGCTGTAGAAATACAGAGAATTAAAACATCAGAAGGGATAACATACGCTGAAGCAACCAACAGAGTAGGTTGGCAACCAGACAGACCAAACAATAAACAAGCTAGTGCAGAATGTAAAAAGTCAAGAACATGTGAGGGATGTGACAAAATCAAGGAAGACACTATGATGGTGGGGAAAAAATGAGTTTGTTTTGTTTATGGTCGAAGTGGTAAATTGCTCTGTGCAAACAGAAGAAAACAGAAAAAATCTAAATAATAGTTGAAGCAGCAGAAAAGTACTTGGGAATCAAGGGGTTAGTGTGGGAGGAGGTTGAGGAACAATTAAGTGGAGGAACACCAGCTCACAAGCACTGTCATGGGGTGGTGGATCTTCATGATCCTAACTATACTGCAATGGAATGCAAGAAGTCTAATTGCTAATGGACAGGAATTTAAGCATTTTATCTCAAACCTCCAAGATAAACCCAATATTACATGCATACAGGAAACATGGCTAAAACCACAATGGGACTTTGTAATTCAGGGTTACACAGCAATTAGGAATGATTGGGTGAATGGAAAAGGTGGTGGGGTAGCAACGTTTGTGCTAAATGGGACAAGGTTTAGTTTGATGAGTGTAGGAAAAGAGCATGAAGCAATAGTAGTCAAAAGCTGAACTAACAATAATTAATTATTATAACCCTTGCAATAGATTAAATATAGACACATTGAATACTGTGGGTGGGCAAACACGGGATAAAGTGGTCTGGTGCGGTGATTTTAATGCACATAGTACACTGTGGGGAAGTAAAAAGACAGATACTAATGGATTAATCATAGAGGAATTAATTGTGGATAAGGGATTAGTTTGCATGAATGATGGAAGTGGCACCAGATATAACAGTGTTCAAAATACAGAAAGTGCAATTGACTTAACATTAGTATATCAGGGAGTAGCAGGCATTTCAGATAATTTATTAGTCGAAGCCAGAAAGTGCAGAGACAACACTCTTGCCATGAACCCAGGTGTCAATATACAGAAGAGCACAACAACTGATGATTTAGATGTACCATTTAGCTTATTTGAGTTAAGGAGGGCTATCTCAAAGACAAGACAATCATCTCCAGGGAAGGACAACATCTGTTATAGCATGTTAGCTCACTTGGAAGATAGTGCACTTCCTGTAGTTTTAAGATTATTTAACCAGATTTGGGAAACAGGCAAAATACCAATAGCATGGAAACAATCAATCATAGTACCAATAGTAAAAGCTGGGAAAGATCCATCAGACCCCTCAAGTTATAGACCAATAGCACTCACGTCACAGTTGGGGAAAACCATGGAACATATGATAACAGACAGATTAACATTCTCTATAGAAAGCAGAGATCTGTACTCACCAGATCAAAGTGGGTTTCGCAAAGGGAGAAATACAATGGACTCTATTTTATGTTTGGAATCTGAAATCAAAAAAGCTCAGACAAATGGGGAGGTTGTGGTAGCTGTCTTTTTTGATATTGAAAAAGCATACGATAGGTTATGGAAGGAAGGGTTACTTATCAAATTAAATAAATTAGGTGTAGGTGGTAGACTGTACAACTGGGTGTCGGACTTTTTATTTGGCAGGGCAATAGAGGTCAGGGTGGGCATAGAATGTTCAAGACTCTATAAAGTTGAAAATGGTACTCCACAAGGCAGAGTGTGTAGTCCAGTACTATTTAACATCATGATCAATGATATTTTTGAAAAAGTGGACACAAGTATTGAGAAGTCCTTGTATGCAGACGATGGCACCCTATGAATAAGAGGACGGAATTTGAAATTTATTCAGAAAAAATTACAGGCAGCAATTGTGGAGGTGGACAGTGGGCAAATAACTGGGGTTTTAAGGTGTCGGGTGCAAAGACACAAGTGATATGTTTTTCCAGGAGACATAAAGAAGTGTCCTTAAAATTATATGATCAAACCCTCGAACAAGTAAAAGTTATCAGACTGTTTGGAGTGATGTTTGATGAAAAGTTGACCTGGAAACAGCACACCGATAAGGTCAAAGACAAATGCAAAAAATCAATAACCTTTTATAAGATGTCTGTCAGGAAGGGACTGGGGGGCCACTACAACATCATTGCTTAAAATATATCAGACCTTGATGAGATCTACACTAGATTATGGATGTATAGCATATATGTCAGGAGCAGAATGGCATCTTAAAAAACTAGATGTGGAACAGGCACAAGCGTTAAGGACATGCAGTGGAGCATTTAAGACCTCTCCAGTGGCTGCCATGCAAGTGGAAATGGGGGAACAGCCTCTAAGAATAAGAAGAACAAGAATTATGCTAACATACTGGGCTAATCTTCAGGGACACTGTAGCTCTCACCCTGCGCTAAAGCCAGCCTAGAACAATGTTGGGAACACAATAAAAGTAGCTGTTTCAGTTTTGGATGGGTGGGAAATGCGAAAGCAGAAAGTCTTGGCCTGTGCAGTATAAAATATATCCCAGTAGTCCCATATCCAGATCTTCCTCCGTGGTTTTTTGTAAATCCATCCATTGACCTGCATGTACAGCAAATAATCAAAAAGAAACCCAAGCAAGCACACATGGGAAGAATAGCAGAAAGTTACATAGAACAGCACTATAGAGATAACCACATGGTCTTTACTGGTGGCTCTAAAGATCCAGAGACCGGACGGACAGGAGCTGCCATATACATCCCAGCATACAAACTAGGCATTAAAAAGAGATCATCTGTCAGTATATACAGTTGAGCTTATGGCCATTTTGATGGCATTACAGTGGATAGAAGAAAATAAGGAAAGCAAGGTGGTCATTGCATCAGATAGCTGGGCAGCACTCACCAGTATTAAATCTGTTAAGTCCTGTAGGCTGGATCTGGTATTTAGTATTCATAGCTCTCTATGTAGATTATATCATAAGGGCTGGACTGTCGCTTTGTTTGGGTTCCTGCCCATGTAGGGGTAGAAGGAAATGAAGACGCTGATATTCTGGCAAAACAAGCACTTAAATCAAAGTCAGTTGATATACAAGTTCTGCAAGTAAATCTCAAGCTAAAACAGTCATTAAAGAGAAAATGCAAAAAACTTGAACCCAGATCCCTGCTTGAGGATGAGAACAGGTGAATGAAACATACAAACATTTGGATGACCTTGGGTAAATCCAATAAGCTAAAATAAATGACTTGAAATGAACTGTGTATGTGTTGTATTTATCCAATCATGATTTCAACTCTTCTGACTAGTACTTAAATGAACTGAAATGAAATGACATGAAATGCCATGAGTCCATTGATGCTAGCCCATATGCTAAAGGTAATGCTAATGCTAAAAGTCCTATGCTAATGTTTAGCTAAGGTTAGCTCAGCATGCTAAGACCAATGCTACCGCTGGCTTAAATGAAGGCATGAGGTAGCCCCATGACACGCACTTTAATCACTTTTGTAATGTAGTTATGCATGATACTTTTAATGTATTTTTCTTGCAGTACTTGTTGAAACATTGTTCTGATGTACATTTACATTGAAGTCTAACTACGGTGTTGATTAATGTGAACTGTCCCTGTTAAATTAAATGAAAAAATAAAAAATACCACTTTGATACGGAAGCTAACAGAATACAGTGAGTGAACTCAGGTAACTCAGCAAAGGCTGCACCAAAGCAACAAAGACTGACGATACTATAAAGGAGAGAGACATTTCCTTCAGACAGGGACAAGGCCAAAAGGATTACCAAGATTAAATTCAAAGCTGTGGTAGAGAATTACAGGTTTATACAGTCTTTTGGAGTCACGGTGCGCCCTACCCTCTGGATATTTCAGACACTGTCCTACTAGAGCTTTACAACAAGGCCTGTGACCACCTATGATGTGTTTTATCAGATGAGATGACAGCTATTATTCAACTGTCAAGCATACAGGTATCAGATCAGGACTCTGTGTGGACAGATACGTCATATTAAAAGACTGAGCAAAGCACCTGTAGGGGACAAAAGAACCCGATCAGGACGTCCCTAATGAAATGTCCTCCATGTTCCCAGAATAGAGAGCAGGTCTTCAGGTAGGCTTCCTTCTAGTGGGACCTGCCTCGGTCTCACAATGGTGTGAAGAACTGAAAGTGGACATTCAGGAAACATTTCTCTGAGGCAGAGCTGCTCTGGATGCACAAATAATCTCACTGGCTGAACTGAACTTTGGTAGACAGCCAATCTCTAAAAAGGGGATTCTCTGGCCCCGCCCACTGAAGTCCAACTCAACCAATGAGATTCTTTGCGTCTCCAGAGCAGAAATGTTTGAGGAACTAAAAGCACAATCAGCTTGATGTTGAGGAGAAGGGCTGTGCAGCAGAGAGGCTGTTTAGTTTCTTCATTCTACTGCAGTGGAAGAACATTGCTCATCTGCTGTCTGTCTGGCTTTAACAACTCCAAAGACATGTTGCTTTACCTCTTTTTACTTTGCTCTCACTTCATAGGTGAGTGTTGGAACACAGATGAAAGGCTCATTAACCTGCTGGATTAACCAGATATTTGGTCTACATTTCAGAACTAGAGGTTTCTCTGTGGAAGGGAACAACTTCCATGATAGAAACAGACATTTGGTTTATTGAATGAATCCAGAAAGTCAAGAACCTCCGTTGAGTCTCTTGATGTTAGAATCTCTTGCAGACTAACTGACATGAATGACTCATTTTGCAGCCCTGGGTTCCATGAACAGCATAACGCCAGAAAGTCCTGAAGAACATGTTGCAGAGGGAGGAAACATCAACCTGACCTGTAAATATGAGGGTGTTATCACCAATATCCAGTGGTACCGACAATACCAGAGATCCAGACCAGAGTTCCTGCTCTCCATCACAGAGGGAGGATCGATTTATCCAACTGATTCTGTTTTCTCAGCTCACATTAACAAAGAGAAACGTGTGAATCTGCAGATCATCTCAGCTAAAATGACAGACTCTGCTGTGTACTACTGTGCTGTGAGGCCCACAGTGACAGGAAACACCAAAACTCTGTACAAAAACCTTTGGAGCAAAGACAACAGAATACTCCACAACGTCCACTAGAGGGAGTCACACACTGTTAAACTTCAGTGTGATGATGAAGTCTTAAATTACTTATATTCTACATGAATCAATGAAATATTTGTAATATCTTATAGGTATAAAACATTTTAACAACACTTAGCAGGAAGCCTTTCATTAGGAGGGGATGTCTCTGAATGATCTTCCTCGAGGGTTTTTCAATCATGATTTTAAACCTATAGGCAAAGGGAACATACAGAGATAATATCTTTGTGTCACAGTAAGTTCAATTGGGCAAAGAGGAACACGAGGGAGTGGACCAGACCCAGAACCAGAGGCAGGTTCAGTTTTATGGTTTTCAAAATAAAAGAGTACACTGACTTACAGCAAGCTGAGGCAGGCCAAGGTCCACACAGGCAGACACATAGCAAACACATCCAAAGGAAGCAGCAATAAACCAAATCTAAACGGTCTAATACATCAGGCCAAAAATCCAAAACACAGGAAAAAACTGGGAAATGGCTAGAAAGCTTGACATATAGACAAAGACAAGGCAGGCGCACAGACTAAACACACAAGTGAGGGGAGATTAAGTAGACACAGGTGAAACTAATTAGGACAGGGCAGCCAATCAAACGGGCAGGAAAACACGAGGGCAGGAAATAAAGTAAGACAAGACACAGGAGATACAACATAAAATAGAAAATAACAACATCAAAACCCAAAACCATGACACCATGTCAATAATATGGAGTCTTAAAACACATTGTGATTGGTTTATGGAATAGACGATAACTGATTGATGAACTCAGCATCCGGCTGTGAGCTCTATTTTCTTTAAGTTAATCACAAGTGCTTTCACTTTGGCTGACTTATAGAAAAGAAAATCAGAAAGAAAGAAAAGCATAATTGCAGAGAATTAAGAACACCAGTATATAAATATGTCTCGGTAACACTTTATTTGAAGGTGCTTGTAATAAGCAGTAATTAACAGTTAATAAGCAGCAATTAAAATAATAAAACACTTTATAAAGATGTTTATAACACAAATAAGTGTTAACTAAAGCACAATTAACTCATTTATTATTGATAAAACACTTATAGGCCCTTATTAGGAACTTGTTGATGTTTATTTACCTGTCATAAACATTATTAAGCTGTTTATTAACATTTTATAAGGGCTGGTTATTGATAAATTAACAGAATTGTTATTTCCTTGTAAGACACTTGTAGAGGGTTAGGGTTAAAAAATCTTAATATTTATAGGCAGCTTATAAAATACATTTTTATTAATATTGACAGTTAACGTTAGCATGCAGCTATAAAATAAGGCATGTCATTTAAGCTAACTTTAGCATGCAGCTATAAAATAAGGCATGTAGTTTAAGCTAACTTTAGCATGCAGCTATAAAATAAGGCATGTAGTTTAAGCTAACTTTAGCATGCAGCTATAAAATAAGGCATGTAGATTAAGCTAACTTTAGCATGCAGCTATAAGATAAGGCGTGTAGTTTAAGCTAACTTTAGCATGCAGCTATAAGATAAGGCGTGTAGTTTAAGCTAACTTTAGCATGCAGCTATAAAATAAGGCGTGTAGTTTAAGCTAACTTTAGCATGCAGCTATAAAATAAGGCGTGTAGTTTAAGCTAACTTTAGCATGCAGCTATAAAAGAAGGCGTGTAGTTTAAGCTAACTTTAGCATGTAGTATAAAATAAGGCATGTAGTTTAAGCTAACTTTAGCATGCAGCTATAAAATAAGGCATGTAGTTTAAGCTAACTTTAGCATGCAGCTATAAAATAAGGCATGTAGTTTAAAATAAGGCATGTAGATTAAGCTAATGTTAGCGTGCAGCTATAAAATAAGGAATGTAGTTTAAGCTAACTTTAGCATGCAGCTATAAAATAAGGCATGTAGTTTAAGCTAACTTTAGCATGCAGCTATAAAATAAGGCGTGTAGTTTAAGCTAACATTAGCACGCAGATATAAAATAAGGCATGTAGTTTAAGCTAATGTTAGCATGCAGCTATAAAATAAGGCGTGTAGTTTAAGCTAACTTTAGCATGCAGCTATAAAATAAGGCATTAGTTTAAGCTAACTTTAGCATGCAGCTATAAAATAAGGCATTAGTTTAAGCTAACTTTAGCATGCAGATATAAATAAGGCATGTAGTTTAAGCTAATGTTAGCATGCAGATATAAAATAAGGCATGTAGTTTAAGCTAATGTTAGCATGCAGATATAAAATAAGGCATGTTGTGTAAGCTAACTTTAGCACTTGGATTTTTAGAGCAGCTTGAATAATGTCTTAGGGTGTTTTCTCTCAACCTGGACATTAGAAATTGGTCCAAGAGATGGCTGCAGTGGCAGCGTGAAACAAGCTACAATGTAACATTAATATGCCGCTGCACACCTTCAGTTTCCATCCATAACGTGCTTGTTTTGCCACTGACACGCTCAGATAATTATTCTTAGTGTCTGACAACATTATGGAAAGGATCCCAGCTGAGGTCAAGCTTTTGTTAAAGAGTAAGATCTGTTTTGTTTTAACATGAAACATCCCTGAAATCGCCAAACCCACCAGACTCTATTCAAATTAACTGTCATTTTATCATCATAAAATACACATTTAAAGTCGACAGGAACAAGATAAAACCTTCACAAACCATCTTAGTTGTCTAAGAAAATAAGAAATGTACTGAAGTATAAAGGGTAGCTGTATTAGGAGTGCAAATTACAATGTGATGTCCAATCTTGCATTCATGAGGTATATATAACTTATAGCTCTAATAAAGGCCTATAATTGTCTTATCAGCAATAATTAATCAATTAATAGTTTATTAGGCTTTAATTAACACTTATATTGTTGTTTATAAGCATCCTATAAGTGTCTTATTAACTGTTTATTACTGCCTATTACAAGCACCTTAAAATAAAGTGTTACCTACGTCTCATTTACAGAAAATAAAGCAAAAACTTTCACATCCTGTAGAATTTACTGGTAAGGTAGGAAGTGGAACAGAGAGAAGTGAAAATCCAGAGCTGCGAGGAGACGGAGAGATTGAGGGAGGAGCTAAGCTGTTAGTGAACTATAGAAGAGAGAGGAACTTCCATATTCAGCAGAGTTCAATACACAAAGCAGAAACATTCCCTTTATTCAACATGCTGTCATTGGACTATTATGTACTTTCTCTACTGTTACTATCCATTCTAACAGGTATGTGAGATCCTGCTGAGAAAGTTTCATTACTAACTTTTCTGGATGGGATTCATTTGTTGAGTCTTTTACAACATGAAATAACAGAGTTATCTCTTCCTTCAGGTGTCAGCTGTGAAGAACTCACTGCAGTCAGGAATGAAGAGTTCACTTTAGAAGGCAGCTCTGTTACTCTGTCCTACAAAATACTCTAAAAAAGCAACTGGTAGTGATTATTTCTTCTGGTATCGACAATATCCAGGAAAACCACCAAAGTTCCTTATTTCACACTCAGGAACAGGACTACCAATATCAGATTCCGTCCCTAGACTATCTTTTAAAGTGAGTGATGATAAAAACCCAAATGGATCTGCAGATCTCCTCTGCTGCAGTGACAGACTCTGCTGTGTACTACTGTGCTGTGAGGCCCACAGTGACAGGAAACACCAAAACTCTGTACAAAAACCTTTGGAGCAAAGACAACAGAATACTCCACAACGTCCACTAGAGGGAGTCACACTGTTAAACTTCAGTTTATCATACAGTCTGGATTCATTGCACTGATGATGAAAACTAGAAGAAAAATGAGGCATTGACAATAAAAGGAGAGTGTTTGTAGCTCTGACATACTGACAATAAGAGAGTGATGTTATTTATGTAGATAAGATAATGTTTAAATTCCTGATTAACACACCGACATCTTGGTCTCCCTGAACTTCCTGTCCTGAGGTTTCCATCAGTTTTCCTCCATGTTAAGGCAGGACAGTATGGGGAGTCTTCACTGATGATGCTGGATGTAAAATCCAGTGAGACTCTGTATGTGATACTGGACTGTACTCAGAAACTAGACCTGATCTCAGCATCCAGATGTGGGTTTTGTTAGTCTGAAGGAATATTCCAGTGAAAATTTCTCGTTTCACTATCAAATCCTCTCCACCTGTAAGCTTGAAAGGTGACTCAACAGTTTGTAGCATCACTTTGTTAATTGCTGCTGTAAATCCACAACTTCAGAGATGTGGGGAGGTGATAACGCAGCACAGAAGTAGAGTCTTTAACTATGTTGAGTTTGGAAAACGCTGAACAAACAGATCATCAGCTGACAACTGGATTATGCTGCTGGACTAGTCTGAAGTTTCAGTGGCATCTTTTCTTCTTCTGTGGTCTGATTCTGATTGGCCACTAGATGACACTGTAGCTGCTGTTAATCCAAGCTGAGCCACATTATCAAGTAGGCGGTGCACTACTTCTGCACTGTGTTCAACCATTCTGTCAATAATAACTGCTGCTGTGAAGAGAACAATTCTCAGACTGAATGTTGAACATCAGCTAGTTTCTCCTGTTGATTTAAACCTTGTTGTAGAGATGGAACATTGGCTGGGGATTATTCTTGCTGCTCTTTTCTTTGGTAAGATAGAAAGCACAACATCTTTTTATTCTTTTCTAAAGATTTATGGAAACAGCTGAGCTGTTTGTGTCCACAGAGTAACACTGTACAGCTGCCATTTTCCACTGTCTTCTCCTCTCAGCCTCATGAACAATGTTAGTCTAATGGCTTCATTTGCTCTACTTTTTCCAGGACTAATAGCTGGAGACACAATCTCTCCTGTACAAGAGGAAGTCAGTGAAGAGAAGGAGAATCTGTCACACTCACATGCAACTATCAGACAGATGAAGACTATATTTACCTTAACTGGTACAAACATCATTCTGACCTTCAGGCACCTCAGTTTATACTCAGGAAAGGAGCAAAATCATGGAGTGGTAGACAAAATATTCCTGATAGAAGATATGGATCTGAAACATCAGCAACATCAACTACACTGACCATCAGAGATCTAACCCTGGCAGACACAGCTCTCTACTACTGTGCTCTAGAAACACAGTGATACAAAGTGTAGAAGAGGCTGTACAAAAACCTGAACCCAGATATCTGACTACTCTTCAAAGAGGAGGGAAGTGGTATTCAAACCACAGCTTCATATCAGATGGATTCTGCTAATTCCTGTTTTATCAGAGTCACTGTGGTTCCAGCTGCTAATGAAACACTGGGGAGGATTCACAGGAGCATTATGGGTAGTGGGGTCTGTACGTTTAACCAGGTTTCGGGCTCCAACAGAAGTTGTGTACAGTTTGCAGATTGGATGTTTCAGACAGGTTTTGTGTCCTCATTTTAGATTGACATTGTTTCTTTTTTTTTTTGGGAAAGCAGAACCTGCATTTGTGGTGAGAAAGAAATCAATCTGTTCATTAGTTCATTTGATGAAGTCCTCATCACTAACCAAATGAATGGGGAACCTCTAACGTTTGGGTTTTTTGTTTTGGTTCTGCTTGGTCATGTGGAGCAGGAGAGGAGCATCATCTGAGTGTATTTTAGCCAAATATTTGCACGAGGTAACGAGATGCTCCTTCCCTGCGTGCATAACAAATGTCATCCGGGAGTAACTGTTATGTACGTGTGAATAGAAAGAGTATTCACAAAGAGATTTGTGTCTGACTCTCCACACATCGATTAAATTGAGATTTTCTAGTTCTTTTTTAAGGGCCTTAGCTGCTGAGGATAAAGATTTAGAAGTTGGAGAGGATCTGTCCTTAGCTCCAGAACCAGGTTAAAGTCTCCTCCGACGATGAGCTAGCCACCCAAGTAAGGTCAAGGAGTACAAAGTTGAATGGCCACAACTCCATTATGAAACACCTCCAGAATTCACTTATATAATCTAGTGGAAGGGGAACTCTGCTTCTGTAAATTCAGAAGAATAACTCCGAGCAGGTGTCCACAGTCTCTCAAGTAAGCTTGAGAAGTCCTGAAAGTTCGTTCAGATGACACTATTTGTCGCTGACAGCATTACAAATTACATATAGAACAGAGGGTATGTGAAAATTTGCACTCAGATAAACAGGTAGTCTGGTAGGGGAAATAAGAATAAGGTGAAATGAGGATACTGCCAGGCCTTAATTTATCCATCCTGTGACTAGTTGCAGAAGAAAGAAGATAAATAGAACATATCTAGGCTTGGGTTATCTCACATGTAACAGGTTATAGTCCACTCAAACAATAAACAAGAACACTTCCAGGCCATAATTCGACCTGTATGTGCCTAACTGCAGTCACTTAAACCAGAGACCATGATAGTCACGGGTTCATGCCAGTACGTCTGGATGATATTTCCCCAAGTAGTGTCCCGCCCACACGGGGGATGTGATGGTGCACCGTCCCTCCAGGAGGTCCAGGACCAGATTAGTGGGGTGGAGAAGCCTGAAGGAGATGCTGCTGTCATGTAGCTTTTTCTTCCAGCGAAGTGAAGGCTTTCCTTTTCTTATAGAGAGCCGTGGACATGTCCCTGAATATCATGATGTCTGAGTTACCGTACTTGAGCGATCTTTTCTTCCATGCTGCATCGAGGATTTTCATCACGTCTATGGGGGATAATTAGAGCCCGGGGGAGGCTACCTTCATCGGGTCGCCGCTGGAGTGTAAAGTGAGCTCGCTTGATTTCGAGCAGAGTGTCTGTCTCTTGGTCAAGTATTAGTGAAGTATTAATATTATTGAAGGATGGCGTTTATCCCTTCCACACCTTCCGGGAATCGAACCAGCCTTAGATTCTGCTGTCTGGCTCTGTTCTCCAGATCGTCTAGCTTGTCTTTAAGACTGCTAATTTCTTTCACTGGTAAGAGTTTCCACAGAGACGCCTAGAGAGTTCAGTTTATGGTCCAGCATGGATTGAATTTTCTCGAACCCTTTTTCCATTTCTTTGTGAAACCAGGTCAGCGGCTTCTCTGTGTTTCCCTCGGGTGAGCTAGCGTTAGCCAAGGCTGATAGAGGGGGCTTTCCACCCTTGTTGCCGCTTCAGCTCTTATTGGGGGCATTTTTAGCTGAACCGCGTTGGTTTCTATTAGTATGAAGCTGGGGTCATTTCTGTAATTAAGAAACTCAAGATAGGGGACAAGTTACGGTTTTGTATGGGAGCTAGTTACACTACCTCCGCCCTTCACGCCACCATCTTAAAAACTCCAAAAGGGGAGAATATGACAGATGCAAACAATCGGAGCTGAAAATGGGGATTTATTTTCCTCTCATGATTTGATTTGTCCTCAAATGTGACACAGATGTAATAATGTGAATAATATTATCAAGTAAAGTCCTGAATAAGTAGTTAATGTGGCTTTCATGTGTGATTGAATAGTAGCATATCGTCTGCGTAAAGATTGACCTCAGTCAGGACCTTCACACGTTCTGTCAAGAGTCAATCAGTGTTACCTTATCAGCTACTTGTTACCTGATGGAAATGATGTCATTTAGTGAATAACAGCACCACAGCAGAGACAAACTCACTATTTGTCAGAGTTGTGAGTGGAAGGAGGGAGGGATTAAGGGAGGAGCAAAACTGGGACTGGGAAAGACACAAACTTTCACAGTGGTGTTTGTTCCAAAACCAGACGGATTCTCTTTCTCTTGAAGATGCTGTCAGTGAACTTCAGTCTGTTTGTGACTTTGTTTCTGCTCACAATAAGAGGTAGGTGAGATCATCAACATTAAGAGAGTTTCAATTATAGAAACCTTTAGATTGTAAAGTTACAGAGTTATCTCTTCCTTCAGGTGTCAGCTGTGAAGAACTCACTCCAGTCAGGAATGAAGAGTTCACTTTAGAAGGCAGCTCTGTTACTCTGTCCTACACATACTCTAAAAAAGCAAATGTTGGAGATTATTTCTTCTGGTATCGACAATATCCAGGAAAACCACCAGGGCTCCTCATCTCACACTCTGCTTCAGGAGCAGTAGGAAATGATCCAATCCCTGGACGGTCTGCTAAAGTGAGTGATGATAAAACCCAAATGGATCTGCAGATCTCCTCTGCTGCAGTGACAGACTCTGCTGTGTACTACTGTGCTGTGAGGCCCACAGTGACAGGAAACACCAAAACTCTGTACAAAAACCTGACAGCTCCTCTGAAGATTTACTCACTTCACCTCCTCCTTTAACTCAACAGCACTACCAAGTGGACACTGACAACACAATCTAAAGACACATTACAATGTTACTCCTGTTATTAATAAAACACAACAGCTATCTATTTACAGCGAGACACTCAACAAGGAAGACTTCTTCTACACAGTTCATTTTACTATCACTGATGATGAGACAAATACAAATTCCAGACTGGTGATGATGATTTCATCATTCTACCAGGGTGAAAAGTGGTTAAAGAGACTTTGTTGTAACAGAAAGTTCACATGTTAAAGCTCCTCATTATGAGCTGCTCTGGATAAGAGCATCAGCTAAACAGCTGAGATGTAAATGAGATGTAAATGTTGAGAGTTCCTCAACAGATGATGAAGAGGAAGGGCCAATGATGTGAAGGCCCAGATCCATCCGAGTATCAATGTTCTTCCTCTCTCTCCTCCCCTCTCACTGCAGACATGAACCACTGGCTGAGAAACATCCTGATTCTGACTCTCTGGCTAGGTAACTCTTTAAACCTACTGATTGTTCTCCTTTAATCAATCATCTTTATTGATCCATCTCTTCCTCTGCATGTTCTCTTCTTCCCCAGAGTGTAAAGGAGAAGACAGAGTGACCCAGCCAGCAGGAGATGTCATTGCTGCTGAAGGAGACACAGTTACACTTGGCTGTACTTTTGAAACAGCTACATATTCCTATTTGTTCTGGTACAAACAAGAAGAAAATGATTACCCAAAGTTTATGCTGCAACTGTACTCTGGAACACAGGATACCCCTTTAGAGGAAGAAAGAATTTTTGCCAAAATCAACAAGACATCAGTTCCTCTGAAGATCCAGAAGCTTCAGCTGTCTGACTCTGCTGTGTATACTGTGCTCTGCAGCCCACAGTGACAGGAAACACCAAAACGCTGTACAAAAACCTTTGGAGCAAAGACAACAGAATACTCCACAACGTCCACTAGAGGGAGTCACACACTGTTAAACTTCAGTGATTTATAATACAGTCTGGATTTGTTGTACTGATGATAAAAACTTTAAGAAAAATTGGGCAGAAACAATAAAAAAAAATTAATTAGATTGTAAATATCTCTAAAACACTGATGATGATGATAAGGAGAGTGATGTAAACTATGTAGATAACATTTTCTTTACATTTATATTCATTTGAGTACCTGATGTTGTTAACACACCAACTTATTTTCCACTTGAAGAATAAAGACAATACAAAGAACTTCCTGTCCTGAGGTTTCCATCAGTTTCCCTCCATGTTAAGGCAGGACAGTATGGGGAGTCTTCACTGATGATGCTGGATGTAAAACCCAGTGAGAAACCCATTGGAACGGTAAGGCAAATTGTTTTGTTTTTGTTGTTCACTGAAGACATTTAGGTTTAAGATCAAAAGATGAGACAAGAGGTCAGAATTTCTTCTTTTATTTCCTGGTATTCACATCTAGATGTGTTAAACAACTCAGGATGTACCACCCTTTGTTTGAACCCACCCATTTTTCAAGTGAGCAAAAGTATTGGAACATGTGACTGCCAGATGTTTCTTGTTGCCCAGGTGTTGCCTTTTAGGTTGATTGTCCAAACATTAAATAGCTCTGCATGAGTAGTCTAAGTTTTCATCCTTAGTTCAAACATATAAAGACTGCATTTCCTGTTGAAGAGGATAAACCAACTTGAAGACCAGAGAGCTGTCTATTGGAGAAAAGCAAGCCATTGTCAAGCTGAGAAAAGAAGCAAAATCGACCAGAGCCACTGGACAAACATTGGGCATAGCAAGCACAACAATTTGGAATGTCCTGAAAAAGAAAAAGTACTGGTGTACAGAGCAACAGACGTCCAAGAGGTCGGCCAAGGAAAACGTCTCGGGTTACGAATGTAAACCTTGTTCCCAGAGAAGGGGAACGAGACACTGCGTCGGCGACGACAGTATGGGAACGCCTCTGGGCGTGGCAGGGCTGAATTATGAATGAAACTACTCCAATCCTATTGGTGTTGCTAGAACGGTAGCGTGTGACGGCGTAACCGGAGGCGTATATAAGCACGCCGGCACACAGGACACATTAGCCCTTTTCTATGAAGCAAGGAACTTCAGGCGGGGTGAGGTGTGGCGGACCGATGCAGTTCGACTTCCCTCGAAGGGGAACGTCTCGAGTTACGTATGTAACCCTTGTTCCCCGAGAAGGGGAACGAGACACTAGGTGACAACACTATGGGAATGAGATAACCACTTAGGCCGCGCCGAAACCCCGCCTACCCCCAGCGTGCAACCTGAGGCACGACTAAGAGGAGAGCACACGAGTGCCGGGTGCAGAAGGAAGGTCCAGACTGTAAAACCAGATGAAAGTGTGAGGGGTGGCCCAGTCAGCCGCATCACACAAATCCTGGAGCGATGCCCCTGCGAGGAGGGCCCTAGAAGCCGCCATGCCTCGTGTAGAGTGCGCCCTTACATATAGGTGAAGGCAAACCGTGCACCTGATAGGCCAGGGAAATAGTCTGAACGATCCAGTTGCTCATGGTGTGTTTAGAAGCGGAGAGCCCAGCCTTGGGGGACCCGAAACACACCAGCAACTGGTCTGCTTTCCTCAACCGGGAAGACCTCAGAGTATAAATACTCAGCGCTCTGACTGGGCAGAGCAGATGAAGTCTCCCGTCCTCCGCCGTCACATGAGGTGGGGGATGAAACGCCTGCAGCACCGTGGACCCTGCCAGTCTGGCCGGAACCTTAGGGACATAACCTGACAAGGGTGCAGGATGGCCCTGACCCTCCCCGGGGCAAACTCCAGGCATCGAGGAGAAACCCAAAGTGCCTGGAGATCCCCCACCCTCCTCAGAGAGGTGAACCACTGCCAGGTCCCAGGTGGGAACCCGACTCACAGGTCTCATCCTCCGGGCTTCACGGAGGAATCGCACAACCAGTGGTAGACTCCCCAAGGGCCCATCACTCAGAGAGGCATGGAATGCTGCAATGGCAGCCACATACACCTTGAGCATGGGAGGGGAAGAGGCCCGCAGAGAAACGGTGCTGGAGGAACTCCAGTATCATAATTACCGAGCAGAAAACTGGGTCCACCGCCCGTTCTCTACACATGGTGGAAAACACATTCCACTTCAGGCCGTACATCCTTCTCACGGACGGGGCTCTAGTGCTGAGTAGCGTCTCGAACCGCAAACAAGTCCACGTCTATGGGGCCGAACCTTTTGCATAATTACTCCACCACCTCGGGGTGGAGTCTCCATTCCCCGGGCCTCAGCCCCTGTCTCGACAGCAGTTCTGCTCCCTGATTCTGGGTCCCAGGGACGTACATCGCTCTGAGGGACAGCAGTCTCTGCTGGGACCACATGTGCCAGTTTGCATAATGGGCGCGAGCGCAGACCCCCCTGGTGATTCAGATAGGCCACCACTGCCGTATTGTCGGCAGAAAACTCCTCAGAGCTCTGAATACTGCAAACATTTCCAGGCAATTTATGTGCCAGGAGAAATGATGCTCCTGCCAGGAGCCTCTCGCAAATAGCAGACTTCACTCTGTAAAAATATTGGTAGACTATTAACTTACGTTACAAGTCACAGTGGACATTTTATGCACAGACCACGACTTTATAAAACCATACAGCTAATGGAGAAATGGAGCAGACGGGGGGAGGGAGACAGACAGAGGCGGGGCAAGCCGGGGTGTTTACCTGAGGTGTAGGTGTGTGTGAGTGTGTCAGAGTGTGGGGAGAAGAGACTTCCGAGGCAGGTGCAAAGCATACTTCAAATCAATAATAAGAATGTTTGTGGTCATTAAAACCTGCTTTCACAGGGTGGTATAATGTGAAAATTTGTCCCGGGGGTTTTACAATCACGATGCCAGCTCAACGTCATCGTTTATAAATGAGACCCCAGAACTTCAGGTAGGCTTCCTTCTAGTGGGACCTGCCTCGGTTAGTGTTTGTTCATTTGACCTAATCTTGGATGTGACTCGGGAGGAACGGGTTGACTCAGTGAGTAATTTGTTAATTTTCACACATGCGTGAAAAGTCTTGGACTCTTACGGTTACTCGTTACACAGCAGCTGCAAGGTCTCCGTCAGCACAGGAAACAGAATTGATTAGTTCAGGACTCATAACTGTGGGTCTCTGGGTTTGAGTCGTTCATTGTGGAGCAGGAATGAACTAATCGTTCAGCGCTCACATTGGTCCTCGGAGTCTGTCTTCACTCGGCAGGCTGACTTCCTGCCAGCACCGGGGAATGAGAGGCAGGTCTGTTGTCAGGTAACAGTCACTGGACTGACATATATCGAATATCTATTATGATAATTTTGCGACATTTAATAAAGCATAACGTTATTACACCGCAGTGATGTTGTGCTAAGTTATAGTTTTAACACAGCCGCACCGTAACTTTAGTCCTGCTGGTGTTTCCAGCCAACAGCTGATGAGAGTTGTTCTGGGTCCACTTCAGAGCCCTGACAGGGTTCTAGCTGGAGCCGAATTACATCAGAGGTCGTCTCCTCTCCAAAGCAAACAGACCGGCTCATTAAACCATTAAAACACAGCCACGTAGCAACGTTAGCGTTAGCCCTGTGGTTTGTTTACAGCTAACAGCTGATCCGGTCCGCCAGAGAACACAACGTAACTTTTACTTTTTATTTATCGACAGAGCCGTGCTGTTGTTTCACCGCTCCTCACTGGTGAACAACCTGCAGTGTTTGAGATTATTATTAAATTTGTTACATTTTAATAAGAGTGTGTTTTATTCATAGTGTGTCAAGCTTATTACTTCAATATATTCCCTGTAAATCTGATGTTAATATATAGATTTTACTCATGGATAGGCGTTTGGCTGCTGTATGAATGAGCACTTTAGAGATATAGTGATAGTAATAATTATATATATATGGCTGGCCTGCTAGTATACTCAGGAAAGATTGTGAAAATGAACGGATTTAGCCGGAGTAGCAGCTTAATTGAATATTGACAACATATTTCTGTGGTTTTTCCATGGTTTGAATTAGGTTGTGGCCCCATGGGGCTTTATAGAACCAAGAAAGATCAAGAGGTGAATTTGAGCATTATACTTTGTCAATTAGAGCAAGCCAGGCAGCCTTCTGTGTTTGAGAACTGTTTTTTTTTTAATCGCCCACTAGAGGGCTGCAGCACCGCAATAACCAGCCTAGTTAAAATAAACGAAATGACACAAAAAAAGATTAGTTCATTTTAATGAGTAAGATTTGGTGACTCGAGTCTTTCAAAAGAGTG